GCATCAAATCAATTGAATACACAGTATTTTGCTAAATCATTGCAGTGAGAGAGACCAAAAAATGGGTTCATCTTATGTGGTCTTTACTTGTCTCTTGATCTTATTCGTGACAAACACTGGCCTAGCTCAAAACACTATACAAGACTATCTTGCAGTCCACAATGCAGCTAGAGCTCGTGTGGGTGTGGGTCCCATGAGATGGGACGAGAAATTGGCCACCGATGCTCGCAATTATGCTAATAAAATTAAAGGTCGATGTCTATTTCAGCATTCAAATGGTCCATATGGCGAGAACCTTGCCTTGGGTACCACCATGACTGGCCATCAGGCCGTAAATTTGTGGGTGGCTGAGAGAAAAGATTACAATTACAGGTCGAATTCGTGCTCGAGAACTTGTGGACACTACACACAGGTGGTGTGGCGCAAATCAGTCCTACTTGGATGTGCACGAGTGAGGTGCAACAATGGCAACTGGTTCGTAATTTGCAATTATGGTCCTCGGGGCAACATTGTTGGACAACGTCCTTACTAGGACATTAATAATGTGATACATAGTAATATGTTATGTATGAGGATACCAAAAGAGTGTCTATTAATAAATAAAATTCAACATATTGAATAAGAAACATACAATGTCGTTTGTGCTGTTAAATTAGATGTCAATTCAAATGTTGTTAATTGCATCATTTATATATATGTTCTCTAGCTCATGTTATACCTTTTTTCCCGTTGCGGAATTTTTCGAGAAATCTTAATTTTAAGTTCAGTTATTCAACCAAACAAACACCAACTGAGGAAGTTCTGATCCACAACTTCTACAGTTTGGTTACTACAAGTTTTCACCCTACAAAGGAGACAATTGATGATTGGTTTGTAAGCCACAAATGAAGAGAGAATAGAGAAGCAATTGGAACCTCAAGGAAGAAAAATCAAAACCGGCCAAAACGTCACATTTTCTCTCATTCTCACAAACAAACACACAAAACGGCAACAGGCAAAATGGCAAGTATATGGAGTTAGGTTGGAATCAATATTGGGCCAAGACTCAAGCAAATGGGATAACACTTAAAACCAAGGCAATTCATAAATGGGCTATACAAATCACCAACTAATGACCCAACTTAGACCATCCAAAAGTATTGGGCTACGAGCAACATTAACTCAATTAAATTGCTTCAAGTGGCCAAAATTGTTTTCAGATGGAGTCATCACTAAGGTGTCAATACAAAATAATCTGACATCGTTTTAACATTATCGTCCGGATTTATTGGGTATCAAAACCCAACATTTCCCATAAAAAAAATGGGGATGTTTGGAACTTTACTCATATCTAAAGAGTTAATTTTACCACGAGTTTGTACGAAATTTCTAGTTGATCGTTAAAGGTTTTTTTCCCTCGTTGATTGACTAAAGTTTATAATATTTTCACTATATCGGTCACTCGATTATTGAAATGCAAATCATAGAAAACATTTATTGACCATTTCTATTGAGCTATTATAGCATTTTGTGTTGCTTCAAAGAGCGAACAATACATTTTTATACAAACCACACGTAGCAGACAGTAAAACAAATTTCTACACTTAAAAATCGTTTAAACATTTTGAATTGGAATTTGGACGAGGAATTTGTCTACAAAATCTCCTGTATATGCCCCTGTGTCGTCAAGAACATGCATCAAATCAAATTGTGCTCCTAATATTCTGCTAAAACATCGTGACCGGAAAGAATAAAAAATGGTGTCATGTTCTTTACTCTTTTAATTGTCGAATAATCTTATTCACCATAAATTCCACTCTAGCACAAAATAGTATACAAGATTACTAGAGGAACATAGCTTGAACAGTTGAACGTCACTGAACGCAGTTAGGTGTATGAGTACTTTTCGATATCTTATGCATATTTTTTTTTACGTATTGCTGAAACTAATACATTTGGTTATTAGTTTGGATACTATGTGCATACGCTGTAGGGCCGTAGGGTACAAGCCATGGAAAATGGAAGTAGATTGAAGTTTTGTTTCTGCACTGGAAAGCCACTTTTGTAATTTTTACTGACGTTTCTACAAAAATTTCGCGTAGTTGACTTTAATTTTATCGGGAATTTTACAGAATATTTGATAAATAAATGTTCAGGGAACTGTTTATGACCCGATGCATGGTGAATGACATCTCATAATATAATTTGACAGTATTTAAAATCTTTAACTGAAGGTTGAAAGATTGTGGCCAGACATCTAACTCATCCCATTGTGTAAACAAACACAATAATTGATTCACCACAAAGAAAGCAGAAAGATAATCTTAGCCCCAGTTTGATTTTAATTTTTTGAGAAGTGATTTTTTTTTTTTTTGAATGGTGGTTAAAAAATAAAAAGCTAAGCGTGTCATGCAAAATTATTTTATAGATTTTTTTTTTTTAATGGTGGTTAAAAAATAAAAAGCTAAGTGTGTCATGCAAAATTATTTTATAGAAAGGAATGTGTTGTTGAAAATGAGTTTGATTGAAAAAATTAAAATTAACAAGGGCTTTGTAACCGAGAGAAGTCGAGAAAACAAAATAAGAACTTAAAAACTAAAAATCCCAGCTCAGAATAGGAGATAAGTGCAATCGAGTTTTTACCATTGCCTAGTAATGTGAAGAAGGATTCGTTGAAGCTCTACCAAGGTCATCTAAAGTCGATGTGAAAAAGTTGGAGTTGAAAGGAATGGACATGCAAATGACTCAAAACAATAAGAGGCTTGGAATCTATGGCTATCGAGTTTAGCAAGAAGCTATCACTATTGACCTACCTACTTTACCTAATCTACAACAAGGCATGTATGGTGTTTTCGTATAGGATAATGCTATTTGTACACTTTTTTTTTTTTTTTTGACATCATTGTAGACATTACAATTGTAGTTAGTAAATAAGTGAACGAAAAAACATTTTGTTAAAAAAAAAAATTGTCCAATAGTGTAATGCCACGTGGCGAGTATAAACAATAGTGTAAACTATGATATACATCAAGCATGATTGTTTCATATAATGCGACTAGTGCTATTGTACCTTTCACATTGAATGTAGCCTTGAATATATAGTAGTTGATGTAAGCAATTTTAAATGAGGTGTCGTAATTTTGACCATTGATCATCATCAAAAGTCAGAATCACGACACCTCTTGTAACACCTCTCACCTCAACTCCGTGGTATTCTATTCACTAGCTATAATACCCATCGACCTGAACACGAGCACGTATAACCATCCATCCCCAATTTTCAGACCATAATCAAACTCTGTGTTTTATTTTACCAAATCAAAATGATTTGAAATGCTTATTGTTGATCAAGAATGGCAACTAATGGTTCTTCAACACCCTGAAGTTGTTAAAAATGAACAAAAATTACAGTTCAAATTGAAATGATGGATTTTTTTATTGAAAAAATTATTTTTAGAAATTATTTTATTGAAAAAAGGATAAAAAAATGAATTTTTAGAAAACGTAGTTCAAATAGGCTTTATAATGTTTATGAACAAGCCTAATAAATCCGCTTTATGTTCACTTTTGATGTGTCAAACATTCACAAACGTTAATTATTTTCGATTTCAAAATAATAAAAATGAAGTTTGAGTGGATCAATAGTGGATTAATTCAACTCTTTCTTCTCCCTAATAATCAACTTTGACTACTTTTTGGATTTAATCATGGTCCAACTACAAGATATATAGCACAATCAGCACTTAAAAACTCAAATACTTGCCCACCGATTAGTTCTCTCCATTTGACATGTAGAGGCTAATTATACCACTCACATTTCTCATCATTGATCACAAGACCGTGAATTTAAATTTGAATATTATGGGGCATATTGGATTATTCGCATATCAGTAATATATTCCCAATATTTTCTCAGTACAACAATATATTCTGAGTAGTGAGAAGAAAGGCTAGAAATTGAAGACAAATTGTAATGTTATTATTCTTCGTGATAGTGAAACTGTGGACTTAGCTTTCGAACTCAAAGTGATCTACTTTAAATCGTGTGTTATTTTTTTTCATTCAACTTTTTTACTCGTTCTTAATAGTATGAAAATAAGCATTTAATCCATAATTCATTACACTAAACATCTTTTTCTTTCAATTATTAAAACAAGTAACTCATTATGTGAACTAGTAGATAATTAATCTCAAAATTCAATCCATTCCCAGTGAATGAAATCCTACTAATTTTTGGGCTTATCTATATAGTTTTTGTCCAAAGACTCCTAATAATATAATTAATGTAGTACATACTATGATTTTAGTGCTACGAGAAGGTGTGCAAGCAAAGTAACAAGGGAAATACGGTATTCCTCCTCCATAAGTGAGGACATATTAATAAAATTTCGGAGGTACCGCCCCCCTTCCACAAAAAAAAAAAAAAACCCTCATTGAGAACAAACGCAAATATCAACTCTGGTAGTGGATTTAATTGGATGAAACACCATTAAATGACTCAATTACTTGGTTTCTCGGGCATAATTTTGACTTGCTTATCCTAGTGCTCTATTATTGGCACATTATGTGCTTGTTTGGTAGGGATTTATGGGGGAAGAATTGATTTTGAATAGTGATATGATGGGAAATGTGCGGTTGAAAAAGAAGAAAAAATTAATGATGTGATGAAAAATATTTTTTTATTGAAGAATGTGTGGTTGAAAATAAGAATTGATTTGAGAATTGATTTTGAGAATTAGAAACAAACAAATACTTGTCAATGCCAAAGTTTTATTCATATCTTTATAATTTCGAAAATGTTTAGATTTGCGTTCTTACATTATTATCTGATTTATGTAGATGGCTTAGTTTTGTCGAATGAAAGTTTCATTGGTTCCTCTTAAATCCTATTAGAGAAGATCATAGCATCATATGTAGGCAATATAGCAATTATGAAGTATAGTTGATAAGAACATATATAAATAATTGGGTTGAATACAAGCATGATTTCTTTGAAGAAGATTGAAACCTTTTTTTTTTTTGTTGTTGTTGTTATGATTTCAAATAATTGATGTATAAGTAATTTTATGACAAGCTATACATGGTTCGAACTTGATTTAAATGTTGTTGCTTAAGCCAATCCGTGTGGTTGAGCAAGCTCAAATTAAGGTCAACCACTAAAACTTTTGGTAAAATTGTTCTAAAAATGAATATGAAGAATATATTTTATCAAAGTACATGAAGAGTAGAGTAAGATCTCATATTAATCAATAAAAGTGGTGTCATATACATGACACACATATGCTTAGTAATAGTACTTAGCATATGCTAAGCAACACAATTATTTTGTAGGACCTATTAATTTATTTTAATATTGAAGCTACCAGCTGTGCATCAGCTGAACTAGTTGGAGTACCACCAGCAGCAAGGAAACCAACGAGAACCAATGACAGCGCAGCCACATAGGAAGGATCTAGAAGGGAATTAGTTGGATAGGTTTTGCATAGTTGTATTGAATCAGTTTTGCATTTATTCTTCATGTAAATTAATTAGGAAATTAGTTAGAAAATAATT